CTCAACCCCCCAAAATCCCCCCAACCCCCCCAAATTCCCCCATTTCCCAGGGCCCGTCTGGAGGAGATGCGGAACCGCCACTCGGAGCCGCCCCCGGCCCCGGCCCCAGCGGGGGGTGAGTACAGAGGGGGGGCCCGGGACCCCCAAATCCCCCCTGGAGGGGAGGGGCAGGGCCTGACCGTGCCCCTCCCCCCGTCCCCCCGCAGGTTTTGGGGGGCTCCTGCCCCCCCCCGAGGAGGGGCCCGACCTGTGCTGCCCCAAGTGCCAGTACAAGGCTCCGGACATGGACACGCTGCAGATCCACGTCATGGACTGCATCAAGTGAGGGGGCACAAAACGCCCCCAGCACCCCAAAACCAGCCCCAGGGCACCCCAAAAACACCCCCAGGGGCGCCCCAGAAACAGCCCTGGGGCTGCCCAAAAACACCCCCAGGGGCACCTCAAAAACAGCCCCAGGGCACCCCAAAATCACCCCCAGGGGCGCCCCAGAAACAGCCCTGGGGCTGCCCAAAAACACCCCCAGGGCACCCTAAAATCACCTCCAGGGGCACCCCAAAACCAGCCTCTAGGGCACCCCAAAAACACCCCCAGGGGCGCCCCAGAAACAGCCCCAGGGGCACCTCAAAAACAGCCCCAGGGCACGCCAAAAATAACCCCAGGGGCACCCCAGAAACACCCCCAGGGCACCCTAAAATCACCTCCAGGGGCTGCCCAAAAACAGCCCCAGGAGCACCCCAAAAACACCCCCAGGGCACCTCAAAATTACCACCAGGGCACCCCAAAAACCCTGGGGCTCCCCAAAAACACCCCCAGGGGAGCCCAAAATCACCCCCGGGGCACCCCAAACCTCCCAGGAGCCTCCCTCCAGGGGGGACCCCAAAAACCCCCAGATAATCCTCTGGGAATCCCCTCTCTGGATCTACGGCAGGGATTGGATCAGGTGGGGGGGGGGCACCCCAAAATCACCCCCAGGACCCCCCCAAACCCCCCTGGAGCTTCAACTTCGGGTTTTGGGTTTTGGGAGCCCCAAATATTCCTCTGGGAATCTCCTCTCTGGATCCACGGCAGGGATTGGATCATTTGGGGGGGGGACACCCCAAAATCCCCCCATGGAACCCCAAAATCCCCCCATGGAACCCCAAACCCCCAATGGGATTTTGGGGGGGCTTTGACCCAATTTGGGGGGACTTCAATTGGATCTTTTTGGGGGGATTGACCTGAATTTCGGGGGGACTTTGATGGGATTTGGAGGGGGGCAGAGGGGGAAGAGTTGATGGGATATTTTGGGATTTTTGGGGATTTTGGCCACAGCCGAGCCCCGGGGATTTTTGGGGGGGTTCTTTGGGGTCTCTCCCCTAGCAGGGGGCTCGGGGTGGCTCTGAGCCACCTTTGGGGTTTTCTTTGGGGTCCCTTTTCCGGGAGCTGTCTCAGGGTTGGGATTTCCCCCGGTTTCGGGATTTTTTGGGGTCTCTCCCCTAGCAGGGGGCTCGGGGTGGCTCTGAGCCACCTTTGGGGTTTTCGGGGGGCCCCTCGGGGGGGCACCTCGATCACGCGGGGTTTGTCGATGACCCGGGCGCCGCGGGGCCCCTTCTCCACCACGCCCACGATCCAGGCCTGCAGCCCCGCGCCGCGCCCCGGCGCCTTCAGCTCCGCGCAGAACCGCGCGGCCTGGGCCCGCGGCAGCACCACCAGCAGCCCCCCTGGGGAAAACGGGGGTGTCACCCCAAAAACATCCTAAACACACCCCAAAAACATCCTAAACACACCCCAAAAACATCCTAAACACACCCCAAAAACAGCCCAAAACCAGCCCAAATACACCCCAAAACCAGCCCTGAACCGCGCGGCCTGGGCCCGCGGCAGCACCACCAGCAGCCCCCCTGGGGGGAGAACTGGGGGGTCAGCCCTAAAACACCCCAAAACAGCCCAAAAATATCCTAAACACACCCCAAAAACAGCCCAGAACCGCGCGGCCTGGGCCCGCGGCAGCACCACCAGCAGCCCCCCTGGGGGGAGAACTGGGGGGTCAGCCCTAAAACACCCCAAAACAGCCCAAAAATATCCTAAACACACCCCAAAAACAGCCCAAAACCATCCCAAAAACAGCCCAAAACCAGCCCTGAACCGCGCGGCCTGGGCCCGCGGCAGCACCACCAGCAGCCCCCCTGGGGAAAACGGGGGTGTCAGCCCCAAAAACAGCACAAACACACCCCAAAACCAGCCCAAACACACCCCAAAAAGACCCCAAAACCATCCCAAAACCAGCCCAGAACAGCGCGGCCTGGGCACGGGGCAGCAGCACCAGCAGCTCCCCCGGGAATGAACAGCGGTCAGGGCACCCCAAAACCCAGTCACCCCAAAATCCCAGCACCTTGGAACCCAGGCACCCCAAAAACCACCCCCAAGTACCTCAAAAACACCCCAGAACACCCCAAAACCCCAGGCACCCTGAAACCAAGGGCACCCAATACCTCGGCACCCCGAAATCTCGGCACCCCAAAACCAAGGGCACCCCAAAAACCCCGTGGAACACCCCAAAACCGTGGGCACCCCAAAACCGTGGGCACCCCGAAACCGGGCGGGTGGGGGAGGGGGTGAAATGGGGATTGAGGGGCAATTTTCACCCAAAACAGGGAGTTTGGGGATCCCTCCCTCCGTTTTTTGGGGGTCACTCTATTTTCGGGATCCTTCCCCCTCCATTTTCCCCTCCCCTTTCCCATTTTTGGGCTTTTTCTCCCCATTTCCAGGGTCCTGCTGCCAGGGCTGATCCAATGTGCCCCCAATCCCTCCCTTATTGGAGCTCTCCACAATTTTAGGGTCCTTTATGCCATTTTTAATGTTCCTTATCCTGTTTTTGGGGTCTCCTATCCCATTTTTGGGGTATCTTACCCCATTTTTAGCACCCCTAATTCCGTTTTTGGGGTATTTTATCCCGTTTCCAGGTTCCTGTCACCACGTACAGTGCCCCCTGCTAGCCGGGCTGACCCCCCGCAATTTTTGGGGTCCCCTCCCCATTGCTGGGCTCCCCCGTTCTGGTTTTGCAGTCCCCGTCCCATTTCTGGGCTCCGTGCCTTCATTTCTGAGCCTCCCTCCCCGTTTTTGGGGCCGTTTCTCCCAACTCCCAGGGCCCTGCCATGATGCACAGCGCTCCCTGCTGGCCGGGATGACCCAGTGTCCCCCCAATTTTCAGTGCCCCTTTTCCCACTTTTGGAATCCCTCACCCCACTTTCAGCGTCCCCCTCCCTGTTTTTGCTGCCCCTTTTCCCATTTCCAGCGTCCCCACCCTGATTTTGAGGCCCCCCTACCATTTTTTAACTCCTCCCTGACCCCATTTCTATGGTTCCTGCCACTGCACACACTGCCCCCTGCTGGCCGGGAGGACCATAGGTCCCTTTATTCCCACCCCCCTCAATTTTGGGGTCCCTTTTCCCATTTTCAGGGTCCCCCACCCCGCTTTTGGCGCCCCTTCTCCCATTTCTGGTGTCCCCAGCCCCATTTTCAGTGCTCCTCTCCCCATTTTTGGCATTTCTCTTCCCATTTCTGAGGGCCGTGCTATGATGTACAGCGCCCCCTGCTGGCCGGGATGACCCAGCGTCCCCTCACATCGACGCCGCCATTTTCGGGCTCCCCAATCCCATTCCCAGAGCCCCCAGTTCCATTCCCAGAACCCCTGTTCCCATTTTTGGGCTCCCCAATCCCATTCCCAGAGCCCCCAATCCCATTCCCAGAGCCCCTGTTCCCATTCCAGGCTCCCCAATCCCCTTCCCAGAGCCCCCAGTCCCATTCCCAGAACCCCTGTTCCCATTTTTGGGCTCCCCAATCCCATTCCCAGAGCCCCCAATCCCATTTCCAGTACCCCTGCTCCCATTCCCAGAGCCCCCAATCCCATTCCCAGAACCCCTGTTCCCATTCCAGGCTCCCCAGTCCCATTCCCAGAGCCCCTGTTCCCATTCCAGGATCCCCAATCCCATTCCCAGAACCCCTGTTCCCATTTTCGGGCTCCCCAATCCCATTCCCAGAGCCCCCAATCCCATTCCCAGAGCCCCAGTCCTATTCCCAGTGCCCCTGTTCCCATTTCAGGGTCCCCAATCCCATTTTCAGGGTGCCCAATCCCATTCCCAGTGCCCCTTTTCCCATTTTGTGCCTCCTCAATCCCATTTTTGGCCCCCCCAGTCCCATTTCCAGTGCCCTTTATCCAATCTTCCGGCTCCCCAATCCCATTTGCAGGGTTCCCAGTTCCATTTCCAGCGCCCCTTTTCCCATTTTTAGGGTCCCCAGTTTCATTTCCAGAGCCTCCAATCCCCTTTTTAGGGGTCCCAATCCCGTTTTTGGGGTCCCCAATCCCATTCCCAGTCTCCCCAGTCCTATTTCTGGGGTCCCCAGTCCTGTTTTGGGGCCGTACCCGAGGTCTCGGGGGCGGTGCCCTGCAGCAGCCCCCCATCCCATGTTAACGGTCCCCAACCCCATTTTTGGGGTCCCCAATCCCATTTTTGGGCTTCCCACCCCCGTTGTGGGGCCGTACCCGAGGTCTTGGGCACCGTGCCCTGCAGCAGCCCCCAGCCCCATTCCCAGTGCCCCCAGCCCCATTCCCAGTGCTCCCAGTCCCATTCCCAGTGTCCCCAGTCCCATTTTTAGGGTCCCCAGTCCCGTTTTTGGGGCCGTACCCGAGGTCTCGGGCGCGGTGCCCTGCAGCAGCCCCCCGCGGCCCCCGCAGGCCCGGCTGACGGCGGCCATGCAGGCGATGATGGGCAGGTTGTGGATGACGAAGGCCACGTCCAGGCGCTGCTGCGCCGCCAGCGCCCGCGCGTGCCCCAGCACCCCGAAACCCGTCACGTCGGTGGCCGCGTGCGCCCCGAAGGCTCGCATCAGCCCTGCGGCTGGGGACAGCAGGGACACCTCAGGGACAGCTCAGGGGACAGGGACAGCTCACACGGCCCCTGGTGCTGGGGACAGCAAGGCACAGCTCAGGGGACAGGGACAGCTCACACGGCCCCTGGTGCTGGGGACAGCAGGGACACCTCAGGGACACCTCAGGGGACACCTCAGGGGACAAGGACAGGACAGCTCACACAGCCCCTGCGGCTGGGGACAGCAGGGACACCTCAGGGACAGGGACAGCACAGGGGACAGGGACAGCTCACACAGCCCCTGGTGCTGGGGACAGCAGGGACACCTCAGGGGACATCTCAGGGGACAAGGACAGCCCCCTCACACAGCCCCTGCGGCTGGGGACAGCAGGGACACCTCAGGGACAGGGACAGCACAGGGGACAGGGACAGCTCACACAGCCCCTGGTGCTGGGGACAGCAGGGACACCTCAGGGGACATCTCAGGGGACAAGGACAGCCCCCTCACACAGCCCCTGCGGCTGGGGACAGCAGGGACACCTCAGGGACACCTCAGGGACACGGACAGGACAGCTCACACAGCCTCTGCAGCTGGGGACAGCAGAGACACCTCAGGGACACCTCAGGGGACAGGGACAGCTCACACGGCCCCTGGTGCTGGGGACAGCAGGGACACCTCAGGGGACAGGGACAGCTCACACGGCCCCTGGTGCTGGGGACAGCAAGGCACAGCTCAGGGGACAGGGACAGCTCAGGGGACAGGGACAGCTCAGGGGACAGGGACAGCCCACAGTGCTGCTGGGGACAGGAGGGGACAGCTCAGCAGGGACAGGGACACCTCGGGGGGACAGCCCCCTGCTGTTGGGGGACAGGGACAGCAACACCTCAGGGGGCAGGGACAGCTCACACAGCCCCGGCCGCTGGGGACAGCAGGGACACCTCAGGGGACAGGGACAGGAACAGGGACAGCTCACACAGCCCCGGCCGCTGGGGACAGCAGGGACACCTCAGGGACACCTCAGGGGACCAGGGACAGCTCACACAACCCCCAGCTGCTGGGGACAGGGACAGTGCCACCTCAGGGGGCAGGGACAGCTCAGGGAACAGTGCCACCTCAGGGAACAGTGACAGCTCAAGAGGCAGTATCACTTCACACAGCCACCTGTCACTGTATAGGTACAGTGCTACCTCAGGGGACATTGTCACCTCAGGGGAGGCAGTGTCACCTCAGGAAGGGACACCGTGTCATCTCACACAGCCACCCCCAGTGCAGGGACACTCAAGAGGGGCTTTGGGGACACCCAGCCTGGCCTAGGGACACCCTGGAGTACCTCTGAGGACACCCAGGAACAGCTTTGGGGACCCCTCAATCACTTTGGGGCCTACGGCCACCCCGGGATGCCTCTGGGGACCCGCTGGTCCCCGTGGGTGGCCCTTGTGGCCAGGGTGACGCACCGGTACGGTTCAGGGTGGCCATGCTGGCCACGGCCTCCTGGTAGGCCAGCTCCACCTCCTCGCGTGTCACCACCAGCTTGATCTTGTTCCAGCGCTCGGGCTGCGGGGACAGCGGGGGGACAGCTCAGGGACACCTCGGGGACACCCCCCGCGCTCAGGGCCCCTTTGGGGACACCGGGTGGCTTTGGGGTGCCACTGGGGACATCTCAGGTGGGTTTCAGTCCCGCTGTGGCTGCTCTGGGTGTCCCAGACCCGTCTGAGGTGGCCCTGGGGACACAGGGCTGGCTCTGAGCCCCTGTCCCGTGTGGCCCCGCCCAGGTGCCCGCGGTGTCACTCGTGTCACTCACCATGTCCAGCCACTGGTGGGCGGTGACAGCCATGTGTGTCCCCAGGGGCTTGGTCAGCACCAGCACGTCCCCAGGCACGGCGCTGTCCGGCCTGGCCAGGGCTGGGGTCAGCATGGGACACGCCCAGGGCCCGGGACACGCCCCCTGCTCAAACCCCACCCCATATCCCAAACCCCACCCCCATGTCCCAAACCCCACCCCCATGTCCCAAACCCCGCC